AACACCAGTTCATCTAGTCCAGGGGTCCAGTGCCAGGAAAATAAATCCCATAACCTTTGGCTGTAAAAACAAGTGGATATTGGGGCAGTGGAAGAAACTTGTCTCCTCTTAAAGAGCCCACGATGGATTTAGGACTCAATCCCTCTGGGCTCAAGCACTGGGGCAGCTGTTGGAAGAGCACCAGTGGCATTCAGGAAGAAATTAAAGTGTCTCACATCAGGGCAAGTGCTGGGGGACAACTTCTTCCCAGTCAAAAATTCAGAGGTCAGGCACTGTCACTCTTCACTTTCTGAGCCCTCCCCAACACAGAGCCACAGAGTGGTGACTCCATATCGAAGACTCCATCAACCTGGTTCACATGGGTTGGCCCACCCTGACAATTACCTAAGGCTCTGCCCCATCCAACTTACTGGTGTGATTTTCTACAATAGGTCATGCTACTAAGACAGGTGGTCAAAGCAGCTCTACCTAATACTTAGAAACAAACACAAGGAGGCTGCCAAGATGAAGACAAAGAACTATGGCCCAAATGAAAGAACAGAAAAACAACTTGAGAGAAAGAACTAAAAAATATGGAGATGAGCAATCTATCAGATGCAAAGTTCAAAATACTGGTGTTTAGGATATTTGAGGAACTCATTGGTTACTTCAACAGCATAAAAAAGATCCAGGCTGAAATGAAGTTTACTCTGAGAGAAATAAAGAAAAATTTATAGGGAACCAACAGTGGCATCGATGAAGCTGAGAATCAAATTAATGATATGAAATGTGAGTAAGAAAAAAAAACATTCAATCAGAATAGCAAAAGGAAAAAAAGAATCCAAGAAAACACGAATAGGCGAAGGAGCCTCTGGGGCAACTTCAAGTGTCACAACATTCAAATCATAGGGGTGCAAGAAAGAGAAGAGAAAGAGCAAAACTTCCCTAGTTTGGTGAAGGAAATAAACATACAAGTCAAAGAAGCAAAGAGAATCCCAAACAAGATGCACCCAAAGAGGACCACACCAAGACACATCATAATGAAAATGCCAAAAGTTAAAAGATAAAGAGAAAATCTTAAAAACAGCAAGAGAAAAGCAGATAGTTACCTACAAAGGAGTTATCACAAGACTGTCAGCTGAGTTCTCAGAACGAACTTTGCAGGTTAGAAGGGACAAGCAAGAAGTATTCAAAGTTATGAAAAGCAAAGGACCCACAACCTAGATTACTTTATCCAGAAAAGCTATCATTTAGAATGGAAGGGCAGATAAAGTGCTTCTCAGACAATGTAAAGCTAAGGGAGTTCATCATCACTAAGCCATATTAATGGGTTAAAGGGACTTATTTAAGAAAAGAAGAAGATGAAAACTATTAATATTAAAATGGCAATAAATCCACAATTATCAACAATTGAATCTAAGAAACAAAGTAATCAAACAAGCATTACAGAAAAAGAATCATGGATATGGAGATCATTTGGAGGGTTATCAGTTGGAAGGAGGAAAGGGGAGAATGGGGGAAAAGGTGCAGGGATTAAGAACTACAAATTGGTAGGTAGAGAATAGAGAGGGTAATGTTAAGAATAGTATAGGAAATGGAGTAACCAAAGAACGTATATGTAGGATCCATGGACAAGAACTAAAGGGGATGGGGGGATATTGGAGTGAATGGGGAGTACTGGGTAGAGGGAGTCCAAGCAGGAAAAATTGGGACAAGTGTAATAGCATACTCAATAAAATATATTAAAACTTTTATCCATATCTTCCAGATATATATTTTTGTTCAGCACTTTCAGTAGTCTCAAATTTGTTTTAATTTTATCTGTCTCAATGGCTGTTTTCCAGTTCATTTTAGATTATATATTGTTTCCTTTTATTCTTTGCTTGGGTTGGCTAGTGGTGTTCTCTGTTGTTTTTCATTAAATCACAATTTTGACTTATTATTCTTGTAATAAATAATAAATAAAATTATTTAGTTATTGTTCTTTCTACCAAAGTAAAGATTTTAACTTTATTATTTCCTGAGAATTTAATAAAATGTTAATAGGTTTTAAATTTCATTATATATGTTTGCTACAGTTATTGAAATGAGCATATGAATTTTATCTTGTTTATTTCTGTTGTGTTGTGAATTACATTAATTTTTAAGAAATAATAAATCACTCTGAAATTCTTAGAATGCACTTTCTTTATACTGTAATAGTTTCTCTTATATATTGCTAGATTTGATTAATTGATGTTTTGTATAGGATTTTTCACTTCTGTTCATGAATCAAGATTGGTTTTTTTTGTTTTCCTTTTCTGTAAAATATTTATCAGATTCAGATTTTATATCAATGTTATCCTGGCCTTATAAAATGAGCTTGGAAATATTCCTTATTTTCCCATTATTTTGAAGAGTTTATGTAATATTGGTGTTTTCTCTTCCTTAAATGTTTAGAAAAATTCACCTGTTAAGCCATCTGGGCCTGAAGTTCTTTCTGAAAAAAATTCAACATAACACATCCAACTTTTATACTACACAGAGGACTCTTAAGATTTTCCTATTAGTTGTGTCTATTTTAGTAAGAGTTTTAAAGAAATTTGTTGATTTCATCTAATTGTCAAATTTATCAGGCATATATTTTTATATTCTTATTTTATTTTTATTGTCTGTAAGATTTTAGAGTTGTCCCCTTTTATTATAGTTATTGGTAACTTTTCCTCTTTTTTTCTTGCTTAATCTTGCTGGGGATTTACTAATTTTATTAATGTGGCCAAGGAACCAACTTTGGGCTTTCTTAATTTTTACTACCAATTTTTCTGTATTTCATTATTTTCTCCTGATTGTTTATTTTCTTTTGCTTATTTTTTGAGAGGCACTGAAATCTGTTTTTTAGATTTTATTTTTATTTATTTTGAGGGAGAGGGGAAGAGAGGAAGAAAGAGTGGGAAACATTAATGTGTGTCTGCATCTTGCATGCCCCTAACTGGGGAACTGGCCTGCAACCCAGGCATGTGCTCTGACTGGGAATCAAACCAGTGACCCTTTGGTTCACAGGCCAGCACTCAGCCCACTGAGCCACACCAGCCAGGGCTGTTTTTTTTTTTTAAACTTTCTTGAGGTAAAATCTAGGCTACTGATTTCCTCATTTATTTTTTCTAACAAATGCATTCAAAGCTATCTTTTACCATTAAACACTGCTTTAGTTTTATTTCCAATTTGTATTTATTATAGCTTCATTATCATAGAATTCAAAAGTATTTCTTTATTTTTCTTTATGATTTCTTCTTTGACCAATGGATTATATAGAAATAATTGCCTAGTTTCAAGCAATTGTGAATTTGTAAAGTATCTTTTGTTTTTAATTTCTAGCCTAATTCCACTGTGGTCAGAAAGCATACTCTGAATAATCTCATAATTGAAGTTTATAAAAGACTTTTGACCCAGCATAAAGTCAATCTTGGTAAACATTCTCTGTGTGCTTAGAATATTAATTTTATTATTAGTAGATGTAATATAGTATAAATGCCAAGCTTATTTTGTTAATTGAGTTTATCAGATATTACTGATTTTTTGTTTGCTCTGTCAACCAGGAAATCCTGCCATTTGCTAAAGATGGGAATTAACTTTGAGTGTATTATGCTTAGTGAGATAAACCAGATGGAGAATAATAAATACTGTAAAATCACCTACATGTGAAATCTAAAAAGCTCAACCTCATTGAGACAAAGAGTAGAATGGTGGTTACCTGGGCCTGGTGAGGGACGGGGGTACTGGAATTGGGGAGATTTTGTCAAAGGGTACAAACTTGCAACTAGAAGATGAACAAATTCTGGTGATCTAATGCACAGCATAGTTACTACAATCCACAATACTGTATTATACACTAAAAATTTGTAAAACACTAGATCTTAAATGTTTTCATCCCCTAAAAGTAATAATGACTATGTGACTTGATAGAGGGTTAGCTAAATCTAAGGTGGTAATCATACAGCAATAAATAAATGTATCAAATTGGCTCATTGTGTTACTTAAACTTACATGATGTTATATGTTTATTATATTTCAATTTAAAAAGAGAGAAAGAGAGTTGGCAATGCTGTAGACTAAAAAAATAATCTCTGGCATGGCAGTCAACACCAGATTGGCATGAGACACCGGACACTGCAGGATGGGGGGATATGGGTACAGGGCATGACAGACACCTAAATGTCAGCAGGCGCCAGGCCAGTGAGATGTATGAACAAAGTGGACTAGGGGAAGGTGCCTGCCTGTGTACATTATGAGTGTGCGGTGTGAGCACGCACCTGTGTATAGTTTGTGTATGTGTGTATGGAGGGGGCACAGTAGTGATCTGAAGAACGTGTGACTCTTCAAAGGAGGCAGAAGAGATTTGTTTTGTGGATCCAATATTGCCTGAAGTCCCAATCTTTCTGGAGACATCAATACATATATGTAAAATACCATGAGGTTCCAATGTTGGCTCCAAATGTTCACATGCAGCCATTCACAACATGAAGCGATGCCTGACCAGTTTTGGGCTGTGGGCTACCAGCTCAGGGAGAAGAGGTGTTTGGAAGGAGTGGGGTCATGAAGAAGAGAGAAAACAGACAATGGGAAAGAAGCTTGAGTATTTTATTTAAGTCTTTCTTTGATATATTGAAAGCTAAGTGTTTTTATGATAAAAGTTTTGACAAGAAAGTTCTCTTTCCAGTTTCACCTCTGTGGCTACCAGCCCTACCCTTATTATAATGCAGACATTTTGTGACTGAAATAGTTTATATATACAAATTATATCATAGAAAAACAATTTTATGGCTAACTATAAGGTTAGGGTATTTCATTCAAAATAAGAAAATAAGAGATTTTTCACTTTTATATTTTAAAGCTGATATTTTAGCAACATTTTGACGATGGTTTATTCCAGTTATAATCTTTAGGCAACATAACATCAAAAGATAATCTATTCATTGGCATGCAAAGCAACATGGCTTCAAATACACCTCTTAAATTTACAGAACTTAAAATTTCAAACATCCCACGTGGCTGGCAGGTGATGAAGGTGGTCCTGAACAGTGGCATACTCACTTCCTAAAGATAAAAAACAGAAAACGGGATGTAACTGCTAGAAAACTCAGATGACCTGAACTATCCAGGCAGCACTTTAAACATTTGTTTTGATAGTTATTTATTAATCTTTATATCTTATAAATCCCTTAGTCTTTTGAACTCTTCAAATATTTGTATTTAAAGATGATTTATCCTAAAGTTTTCCTAACAGAAAATATGAAATGTATAAATAATTATAAAAAAGCAATTACAGCCTATCAAGATAAGTGGTTAATTTTGGTGTTTAGATTTTTTAATTTATTTTTTTATTTGCTTGTTCTTTTTAAAAATTTTTATTTAGTTATTTTTTGAGTACAGTTTTTTATCTATTTCTCCCATCCCAGCCCCCCCCCTGCCCCGTGCTCCCCACCTCCCTCCCATTTCCACCCCCCTTAGTTCTCATCCCTGTGTCCTTCCTATTTGTTCCTCCAAATCCCTCCCCTTTTTCCCCTTTAAATTCCCTTCCCTCTCCCCTCTGGTCACTGTCCCCTTGTTCTCTATTTCAGTGTCTTTGTTTATATTCTGCTTGCTTGTTTGTTTTGTTATTTAGCTTCCTGTTAAAGGTGAGATCATATGGTATTTGCCTTTCAACACCTGGCCTATTTCACTCAGCATAATGCTTTCCAGTTCCATCCACGTTGTTGCAAAGGGTAGTAGCTCCTTCTTTCTCTCTGCTGCATAGAATTCCATTGTGTATATGTACCACAATTTTTTGATCCATTCATTTACTCATGGGCACCTAGGTTGCTTCCAACTCTTGATAAATTGTGCTGCTATGAACATTGTGGTGCATAGGTTCTTTGAAATTGATGTTTTAGGATTCTTAGGATTTTTTTATCAATATGCTTACTACATTAAGTACATACTACCAAATATGCTGAAATTTTATTTTGTGCTAAAATTTCAACATACGTAGACATTTGTAATGTGACATTAATATGTGAATGACAGTTCCCTGTTGTATTCTTATCTGTGTTCTTAGTGCCCTGTCTCTTATTGAAACTCAGGAAATGTTTTTGGATAAATAGGTAAATGGATAAAAGCATAATGATTTAAAACAAATACAATAACATACTCCTAAATGATTCATAATTTTGGTTATATACCAAGACTCTCCTCCCCACATACGGAACAACCTGTAGCAGTATGATAATATTTATGACCATTTTGATGGTTTTCAGAATGAACTAAAATGCAATCACCTGTCAGTAATCTTGGTCTGAATCAACCAGTTGATAAAGTCCCTGGTGGCAAGATTATCAAGAACTGTGTTCATCTCATCAGAGAAAGAGCCGTCGGCATGTCTGCGGCGGAGCTCTTCAACAATGGTGACTTCTTCTGGGAAACTGAGAAAAAGGGGAAAAGTCAGTACTCAGTTAAATGCATTAAATAAATGTTTACTGGTTGCCTATCACTGGAGACATGTACGGTTCACTGAAAAAACTGAGTTTCTGTTTACAGAGGGCCTACTATGAAAAGCTTCATAGAAACCTGTGTGAATTGGTCATGGCAGAAAGGACAATGCTCTAGGAAGAAGAGGGCAGAGCTGGGTGGGAAACCCAGTCTGTATAACTTCATGCTTTTTTCAATGTCTGGCAACACAGAAGTTATTATTGAGACTATTAATTTGTTTATGATTCAGAAAATATATACTGTGCTATAACGATGATCAGAACAGCCTTGCAAAGTGCAGTATTAAGGGATTAAACCTCAGTCTATACCAGATACTCTCTTTGATTAGTTTAATTAGCAGAATTTTTGGTATCCCTTTAAAACACTATAAATTATCCTCAAGTGTAAACAACTATTTTACCATTGATTTTGTAAACTGGATTATTAATGTTTAAAAAAAAAACAGTGACAATACCAGTTCCATTCTGTCTTAAGATTTCTTTAAGTCTCCGTAAGCTTGTTTTAAATCTCACTGAAAAGCTGAGTTACACGTGAATTTCCTGCTTCTCATAATTCAAATATCAATCAAAATGGTCAGGAGAAAATGGGATGGTTCAGGGGTGTGTTCGGTTGTGGTAAGATACAAGTTGGTACCTACAGGTCTTAGCCTCATTTTCAAATATGAAAATGCTATGGTTATCTCTGTGACAGTCCCATAAAAATTGGGTGTGTTGTTAAATTTATGGATGTTTGAACACAGCTCTATTTTGAGTGTCATTTCATAACGCATCTTAAGTTTAGTTCCCTTCACTCTTCATCAGATTTTTACCTAAATACTTACTAACATATACATATATATTGATCCCACTTGTAAATATTTAAAGTCGAAGTAAGTTTTCAACATTCTTCTCTTTTTCTTTATCCTTCATTTACCTAGGACAGTTGTGGTTTAAGCTTATTGTCCTGGTGTAGTTCTCAAAAGCTCTCTATTCTCAAAAGTGTCTTGGATTAAGAAATTAATAGTCTAATTATAACACAACTCTAATGTGGAATAAAAATGTCACCCATTTGACTCTATCATTAATACTTGCTACTATCAATAAAATAGATTAGATTCTTATAGACTCTCTCCTACAATAGGAGTTATCTCCTTGCTTTGTGAGACTAAAGTAATTTCTTCCATAATTCAAATCCATATGTAGACAACTGTAGTCAAAGTTTTCAGCATCACGCCAAAAAAAAAAAAAGTAGGAGTATACAGACTTACTCTCGCCTTCCTCGGCCTTTCACCAACCAAGCAATGAATTCCTTGGCGGCTTGGCCTTCCAAATAAGAACTTACATCACTGGTAAAAGTCCCTTCAGCGTGTCTCTCAAATTCATCATGACGCTTAGCGATATTATTCCTGAAAGACATGTGAAAGTTTCATTGAAGATCTGTGTCTTTAGCAGTAAAGTTCTATAAGCAGTGGCAGCTTCGGGTTGAGGATTCTACGTACAAGGGGCTCAGGAGATCTGGGAGATGAGAGTAGCTCACCTCAAAACTATAGTAATTATCTGAATTGGAGTTTGGTGGGAGAGGGATAATGACCATTAAGAAGAGCTAATGCTCCCTTATTTCACCCCGTGCACCCATTTTCACCTCCACGGCTTCTCTGTGTCCTTGTTAGTGCTGCATTTACTCCAGTCTCCGTGTAAGTGAACTGACTCCCAATATGCTATGCTGCTTGCAAATAAGGCAGCTGTTTGTCAGTAGTGCGTTCGGGTTCAGAGACAGATAACTGAGTCAAGGGAAAGCAAAGGACCATCTCAAAAATATCATGAAAAAGACCGCATGATGATGGATGAAAGGAAATGTGAGATGGGACAGCAATGGGGAAGGCTAAGATGATGACCCCACATCACCCTCGAGTGTGCGCAGTGTTTTTTGTAGGCGGTTGACTAGCTGCCCTCAGTTTCTCCTGCATTTATTACCCCTGGGGGTGGGGTTCATCTTAAACACAATAGCAATCTTTGAAAGCAAGGATTATTTTACATTAATTTATCAAATTGTGGCATTCTCTTCCTAGAAATGAGGACAGTTGTCTTCAGTTTTTTTCAAATTCGTGATTTTTCGTATTTCACCAGTGGCCATGTCCACAGTCCCTAACAGGGCTGCTCCCAGGGTCTGCTCTCACCTTGACCACCCTTTTTCCTGGCATGCCCTCCACTTCAAGAACTTTTGGTCGACAACCCTGTCCTTCCAATTCTTCCTGCTGACCCATGTTCATTCTCTGTCTCTCATTCTCTTTCTCCCTTTTCCATTCTATCCAGACAAATCTATGCCCTTTTCCTGATTCTTAGATTCCTTCAGCTACTTTGAATGCATAACTCCCTTCCCTCATGGGCCACTTTCCAAAGAAATTGTGAAATTCCACCATCTCTGCGAAACCCTTGTGGATGATTTCCTTCAGTAGCCTACATGCATCATAAAACCCAACACTGTGAATGAAAATCCAACATTAAAATGTATGCCTTATGATAGGCTTGTGTTCTTATTTGCTTTCTTCTCTCTTTATGCGGTGCAGCGAGGCTATAATTTTAAATGTGTATCTTGGATTGTATTCTACAAGAAAAAGACTGCATCTGTTTCCATTCCTTACCATGATTAACTTGGCTAGGGGTTACTTTGAATGTGATCACAGCCATGAGTTTGAACTCTAGAAGGGAATGTTGAATTTGCTCTCAACTTTTGGTCAGAAATTAAATTCCTAACTTTGCAAGTCTACAAAATGCAGCTTTCAGTGTTAACAGAAAGTGGACAAAAGAGTAAATATTAACAATGAGGCCAGAGTTGGGAAAATAATTTCAAGCCTACATCCCATTAGAGGGTGGATAGGGCATTTGGTGGGGTGATAGTTGAGACATTTAGAAGCATAATACAGAGGATGGCATCACCAACCTTGAAAATCATCAAAACTGAAAACGCTTATGGGCATTGTTTGATGAGCCTGATAATGTAACGTAGTTGAGAGAAATTTTAGACATATTTAAGTAATACATTTGTGTGCACATTTTAGACTAGGTTTCGATGCGTACTTGTTTCTTTTGGTGTTCATCAACCACTGCACAAAATCCTGAGCACGCCTGGAGTCCAGGTATTTGCTGTAGTCGCTAGTGAATGTGCCTTGGGAATGGCGCTTGTCTTCATTCATCTGATTCGGATCATTGAGCGGGTCTCTCTGGGGAGCTGGAAATGAGCTGTGAAGAACAATGTTTGGTGCAGCTAAATTTCTCCTCAAGAGTAGACTCACTTGAGGACGACCTTCTCAAAACACAAGACCATGTGAAATTGAAAGGCAGGTGCCTTGACTATTTCATCTGGTATCAGAGAGACCTTGTTTGCCATGAGAATTTCAGAACTTTATTAGAGTTGAATACACTCTGAATCTGAATCCTACTAACATATTTTAAGTGGTTTTTTCTTTACTAAAATAAGATTAAGTAAATCTTTTTTCAACTAATTAATCTACTTATGATTGTGCCAATAATGGCAAAGAGAGCAATGATTTGATTATTTTAAAAGAGTAAAGAATTTCAAACCATTTGGGCAGCTGATCTATGTTCCCAATTTTGTTTTGCATGTTTTGATATAAAAGGTAGCTTCATTACCTGGTTACATGATAGCTAATGGTGAAAGAGAAAAAATTAAAAGTTCAAAGAAAGAGAAGGAAAAGCTCTTGCTAATTTCAAACGGTATAGTGAATAATCTACATGTCGGTAATCAACAGTTGATTGGCATGGCAAATAGGGGGAAACATTCAATGTGATTAATATTCAGAAATAGAATAGATATACCATTTCATCTATCAAATTGCAAAGATTAAATACAGGGGTGTGTATATTGCGAGTAGAATATTTCCTTAATGCTGATGGGAGTGTGCGTGTGCATGACTTTTCCAGAAAGCTAGTTGGCAAAGACTTGAAAGATTTAAAGTCATTCAGACCCTTTGACACAGTAATTTTACCACTAGAAATCTAGCCTCAGATAAACAGTAAAAAAAAATGTAGGGAGAAATATTATTTGCTGCATTCTTTGTGGGAAAATTTAGGAACCCAAGTGTTCAATAGAAGAGGAAGAGCTAAATAAATATTGTACATTTATGAGGTGAAATAGTATGCAGCCATTAGAGATCATACATTTGATAGATACTCCTAATGATAAAAAAAGGTAACAATACAGTGCTAAGAGAAAAGGCATAATATGAAGCTGTATAATGATCTGAGATATTTTTATATATAGTACATATTAACACATAACATTTTTGCATATTTTCTATCATGAACATGTATGACTTTTACAATTAGCAAGAAACAGTGTTATTTTTTAAAAGGAATAAAAAGAAAAAGTGGGTGTAAGTAATTAAAATAATCTACTATGCAGTGTGTGAGTAGTGAATGGGTAGATAGGATCAGCTGAAGATTTCAACAAGCTATAGTTTCCCATGTAACACATTTTTCAACTTTGCCTACTCCTCTGGTTGTGAAACAACATACTTTAATCTATACTCACAAGAGTAAAGAAACAACTTTATCGCAATGATATTTTAAACACTTGAAAATTATGCAGAGTATTTATTTTAAATTACTGAGACCCATTCACCAATTATAGTTTTCAAAGGCTATAATATAACCATAGTGCTATAGTAGTTCAAGTCTAAAGATTTAATACCTGGATGTCTCCTCTGTGTCCTGAAGGGAACGTTGCCAGCTGCCTTGCACCAGCATTACAAATAATCCAGCCACAAAGTAAATGCTTTTCATTTTTGCTGTTGAAATACAGTCAAGGAGAGGTGTGGGGAGGGAGACAGGCAAACATATTTAAACATGTCAGGCTAATTTAGTTTGATTTTGACAGAATAAATATTATAAATAAAAAGAAAATACTATTCATCAACTTTATGCTGAGTGCATTTCCAGCATAATTTCAAATAGTAGATTATATTTCCTCCAGATTTTTTAGATGGCAAAAAATAAAATACAAAAGATGTGTAGCACTATTAGGCCTTTTCATCAATGTAAGACACTTCTGTTAATGATTAGAATACTCATTTCCAGACCTAGAATTAAAAATGTCCATGATAAACATTTAAAATATCCACTGTGGATGATACGCTACATATGGTTAGTCTGAAAGCCACCTTATCCATAATGCCACCCCCTTCCCTATCAGTCTGGCTTTCAATTAATAGTCCTTCACTTCCAAGCATTTACATTATCCTGCATTTCAACCATCTTAAAGCAGCCTCAGGCTACAACTTGGCATACCAGCTGTCGGTTCAGATGTATTATTCATTTATATTTTAAATAGTGTAACTTGGTCTAGACTTTGTAATTATAAAGCGACCAACAGATTTGAGGTATTTTAGAGTGCTTTGACCTGTTCTAAATTAAAGGGAAAAAATCATTTTAAAGACAAGCAATTTGCAACAAGAACTAATGCTTCTGGCAACTTGAACAATCACAACTAAGAAACTCAGAGATCACTGTCATAATGAAAATTAATGCTTGCTTCTGAAGTCTTGGAAGTCCTCGGGTTGTTTTATAATTGGACTCAGTCCAGGGCATGTCATTTACTTCTTGTGACACTCTAGACCTGGTTGTAGGACACACTTGGTTGCCTACCCTCATACCACAGCAGATGCCCCGTGAAGCCACAGGATGCCCAGGACAAGATGATGCAGAGAGGATGGGGTGGGAGCTAACATGAACTTGTCCCTACAGGGCACGCCCCTCTACATTCTGAGCAGAAACTCAAGTCCAGCATTTGTCAAACACTTCTCTCTGCTACTTTAGTCTGACCACATTTACTTTGAGAAGTAGGGATTTCAGTTCAACGTTGGTTATGTTTATCCATAAATAATTTGAATGAGTATTTTTAGCAAATGGCATTTGGTTTGAAATAACAATTTTACAAATATTATCATTTTAAACTATCAATCTTTTCTTTAACATCCTGGCCATATTTACTATCTATCTTTGGCAGTAAAACGTGGAAAGTGTAATACCAGCAGTGGTATTTTTTTCTTTGAAATATTAAGTCTCTTTAGACTAAGTGTTAGTTAGACAAAGCAATACAATAGGACTTACATAGTCACCTTTCTTCATTCATCAACATTAAATTACTAGTTTGGCATCTTGCTATTCTTCAGTTTGTTGAGTCGGCAAACTGGAAATTTTGCCATGTATGTAAGTAGTGTCTTCTGATTATACTTCTCAATTATAAGTTCACACTTTCAGGAATTAAAAAAAATTAAAGCAAACATTTCTTTTTAGAATTACACCACTATGGCAAAGTCAATTTAGTCCTAAATAATTCCTTCTGTGTAAAGTCCCTAAAGGCTTTACAAAATCTTCTATTATATTATGCGGAGGTGGACTCCAAGCATGTGGTGTTCAGAGGCTGTGGGAGCTGATGGAAGAGGAAACTGCCATACAGAAGTGACTGTTCAAAGTCCTCTGCAGGCAATACAGTGAGTTCTGCTGAGAGGGAAACTGGCTTTTAAAATCTCATTTATTCATGTGTAGAAGTCTACAACACTGTGAAAACAATAAGAATAATTCTTTGAATACCACTACCGAGAAAGCAAATGTGTGTTATTTTAGTTTCAAAATCTCTTTCACTAAGAAATTTCCAGTTACTCTGCTGCCCCCACCCCAAATTTAGGTAGCTTGAGAAGAAAATCTGTAGTTTTATAAAAACTTCACCTTTCCACTCAAATTTAAAGGGACCATGTAGTAACAATAGTATTTCTTGTGTAGGAAGTCTTTTAGAAGATTAATCTTAGACCTAGGCAAGGTGACATTATATAATAATCTTAAATGTATTGGTGTTGTAGGCCAAATAAATATTTTTTAAACTGGTTGTCTCATTTCCTTTCACAGGTTTTTTGGCAGGTGTGGAAAAAAACACCACTGAATCATTTATTTCATCGAAGATGTTTGTAAAATCTTTCTCTTTACTCAAGAACTTAAATAGGAATTTTAGGACATCTGATTTTGAGTCTAAAGAGATTTATTAAAGTTTCATTTTAAAATGTGGACATTTTAGATATTTTATTTATCACTATTGGTTCTCAATCCTTAGTAGATAATCATTAATCTGTGGTTTTATTCAGCTCTAGTCAAACTTCCCAATAATTGATATTTGTTCACTGCACCAAATAAGCTACAAAGAGCTTATCAGCTTGTTTACAAAGAGCTGATTTCATGGACTTTAATTTTTTGATAGACTGATCAGAAATTTGAATATTTGAATGATGATGTTGAGTCTTCTCTTTTGGAAAACTGTAAGTTTTCATTGGTAAGGAGAAATTACTATTATAGCCTCTCTAATGGACACATTTCTGTTGAATTTAAAAAGGCGCCTTCTGCTCCAAGTAATATACACATTTATCAAGTCCAAGGATAATATTTATTTAAAAATGTTACCCCTTATTTTTAAAAGGCAGTCTTCATAACAGTTAAATCTTGTAATCAGAGCATTGATTTGAATCTTTGTTTTTCTTTTTACTTTATATTTTCTCATTGAATTATTTTTCCAACTCATTTTGCAGCTTCATTGTGTTGACATTCAGATGAATACATTTTATATCACTTTTTCTTCTTAATTCTGCCCCATGTATTATTAGTAATACAGTATAAGATGAAAGAACACTTTAATTCTTAATAATAATTTGTTTCCTTATAAATATTTCACCATACCCCAAACAGAATATACAGTCTTAAACAACCCCTCAGTGTTAATCTTACCTTCGGACTCTGGGGCGTGGAACAGAGCAGGAGGTGGGGGAGCGAGCCCTCTGTGGGACTGCGGGAGAGCTGTGTCCTGAGCTCTGTACTTCTGCACCAAAGCACACTGCTTTTATACACCCTCCACCGCTGCTTAGCCTCACAGATCATATGCTGACAATATAAATTTCTCATCTGTAAATAATGGGCTTTTGTTACAAACGATTTCACTCGCCCACTTACTTTGCTCATCTCATTCTACGCTTTTGTTGGGTGGGACCTCAGAGGACAGGAAACTTTATTTACTCTTGTGCCTTTCTCGTGTGTGTGTGTTGGGGGGATGATGGAAAGGACAGTTTGGAAATTTACCTTCCACTCTCAATCGAGCATGAAACTCACTTAACTACTCTAAAGTGAATTTTAATGCTGAAGATGTAAAATTATTTAGTTTATCGTTAACCCACTTAGAGGGGGGCCACTTAGATGATGGCCTCATTCAAAGGTCGTGAAAGTTGTTCTGCTTTACTATTTAGTTATGATAAATTTATCTGAATATAATAATCCATTAATCATTTTATCTACCTAAATAATACATTTTTTACTTAGAACCTGCTTATTAATCCTCACAGCCCCCACTATATGGAATTAACTTGCATTTTTTCATGGGGAATTTTAAGAGTATCAGTTAGAACCTAATGTGTTTTGTTGTAATAAACTGGAGTCAGGAAGAAAGGATAAAGCAAAATGACGATTAAACATCCAAGATGGGTCATGCTAAAACGACAGGGTCTAGTACTTCTTTTTCCTTCTGATGGGTATTTAAACGCTAAGTCTACTGGTAAGAGAGACTTAGCCTGGACACTAGTTTATAACAGAACAAGCTACTATGTGTACTGTCTTAGGTATCTGATGAGCTTTCTCATCTGCTACTTAAGACTTCAATGATCTATTGGATTTAGCAGACATGAGTCTGATTACTTTAGATGAAGAGAAAAGTAAGGAGTTATCTGGCAGACAGCACATCATTCTATTTTAGTCTGGCTGCTGTCAATACGTTGTGTGGCTGTGGTCCTGTCACACGTCTCTTTGTGCCTCAGCTTCCATATTTGTCAAATGAGACGGTAGGTTAAATGACTCTTCTAAAAATAAAAAAACTGATTCTGCATGACAAAGTCATTGCAACACTGTCTAACTAGATTCTCATCTTCTAATACCATCCAAAGCATGATAAAGCTGATGACTTTTGCAGAAGTAAATCATTGATACAACCGGAGAAACATCCCCAATGAATTTAAACTCTTCAGCTGTGGATTGGATCCAAAGTTGGGTAGAGAACTACTTAAACACCATAGAGATAAATTCTACATAGAATTGGGATACCTTCGGAATGGGTTTTTGTGCTGCTGATTTTTGACAATGGAAGGTGGTGCTGTTCAAAACAGGGTGTATGGACCAGAATCACCTGCTAGAAATGTAGACTCTCAAGCAATTGCCCAGACTTACTAAATAAGAGCTCACATTTTACCAAAATTCCAGGAAATTTATGTGTATATTAAGGTTTCTGAAGCACAGCTGTATGAAACACCCACCTCATTTCTTCACCTGCCTGGTGCTTGCTACTGTTTTGCCAGAGGACTGCTTTTTGGCACTACCAGCAGGGGGCGTGAAAGAGCAGAGAACAGTTGCACTCCGGCCAGCTGGATGAATACTTGTAAATGCAGTAATGCCTTGAAAGTGTGAATTAGTTTAATATACAATCACATAGTTCTTCCTTCCTGCCTCAATCCTCACGAGTATATTAGCTATACTTTATTAATCGTTTGGCATTTAGTTCTACTTTTTTTCCTTTGCTAATGTGGGTAGATGCTTCTTTGCCTCTCTGTGTGTCTGTCTTTCTTTCCTCTCCAGGTGCTACCTGTTTGTGGAACAGCCCTAAGAAGGGAGCTCTGCAGATGATGTAAAGACATAAAGATATAGAGCGCTTAACACAGCATCTGGCGTTTCAGTAAATGTCCTCTTCCAATATCTCACTGAAACTTGTTTCTTTCCCTCCATCCCACTTGCTTTCTGCTATTTCAGAAGTGATAATCTAAGTTCTTTCAGGGAATTTCTTCTAGCTTCATCTCTAGCCCACCAACACTGATCCTTGGGGGTCCGTGACACCATCAGGAGGAGCATTCTGAGACTGCGGCAGCATTTAGATCCTCACTGTACAGGGCACTGCTCCTGTCCTTACAAGGGGCAAACCAGGCTCCTTAATGGTCATTGTGTTATGAGAAATTAAAGCAAACAGCAAGTGTCTTTTATAGACCTTCCAAAGACTACCCCAACACCAGCCTCCACTGGACCTTCAGCTCCCTTCATAGCAATTATTGACTTAGATGAGAGACGAGGAAAGTAGTAGCCCTGGATTTGTAAGAGGCGGAAATGGGAGGGAGGTGGGGAGCACTGGGGGGTGGGCTGGGATGGGAGTAAAACATAGAAAACCGTACTTGAACAACAATTAAAATAAATAAATTAATAAATTAATTTAATTAAATTAAAAACAGTAAAAAATGTTGTCTGGAAGCAGGGGAGTTCTAAGAGGAATCTTCTAGAGTTCTCTCACCAGGGTGCATGAGGGGCATCTCATGGTTGCTAGGGGTTATTGTCCACAGCCAGCATATGCCTTCCTGAAAGGTCAGTTAAATTTGACGTAAGGAATTTAAAACACAATTACTCTATGGTGTGTAAAAATCTACATCATTTTAGATAAAATAAGGTACCTATTCAAAGATTTTTTTTTTTGCTTTCACTATGATACTTAGGTCAAGGGACAACATCTATGGACTTATGTCCTCTATCATTGCGTGCTTAGAAGGCCCCTGCTTAGCTTAATGCTGTACTCTTACCATCTTGAAATTTTAATAAGTTTTGAATGAGGGCTTCACTGCTCCATTTTGTACTTGGCCCCCCAGTTATGCAGCCAATCCTGCTTAGTGCCTCACCTCACAAAATCATGGACTGTGGGGCCGTTGCATGTGTTTTTCTCAGGTGTTTAAGATACTTAGGTTTAATCTTTTAAGAATGTCAAAGATCCAGCTGCAGTGTGCTCTGATGGCAAGAATATGGACAAGGGGGACTCTCATGCATTGCTGATGGGAGTGCAACATGTCACAAATGATCAGAGGCACAAGTGGAATATATCATCAAAGGACAAATACCTATAACCCTTGGCCTACTAAGGCTAAAGCACCATTCTGAACTGTTCATTCATATATATATATAATGATGTAGGTACAAGGTACTTCATTGTAGCATTGTGTATAATGGTAGCCACTGGGAACCAATCCAAGGAACCATCAATAGAGCAGTGTTTAAAAAAAGAATGAGGAAGCTCTTCATTCACCAGCATAGAAAGACTCCAGGATATGTTGTTAGGTGAAAATAGGGAGGTGCAATATGGATATATAGCAGGCTACCTTTTGTGGGAAGAGAAGGAAGAGGACAAACATGTTTATTTACTTGTAATTATATTTAAAAATTAGAAGAGTGCCCAAGAAACTAATGCAAGTGTTTCCCGTAGTTCGAAGCAGTGGGGTAAACAGGAACAGGGGACAAAGACTACTCCTCATGTACTTGTGAGGCTGTTTCCATTTTTCAAACACTTAATTTAATTATCTATTTAAAATAACCAAGAAGGCAATTGAGAAAGGCGTGACAGTACAACCACTTGGGGAAAAGGTTAGACTTTAAAGCTAAATGGACAACTACACTTTGAGTAGTAATTCCACTTCTAGGCATTTTACCCAAGAGAAATGTAACCATGAGGAGATCATTGTCACCAACAAAAGAAAGACTAGGCAAATTATGGTATGGAATTCATTCAAAGGAATATTACTGAACAACAATAACAAAAAGAAACCAATAACTGGTACTGGCAGCAACATGGATGAATTTCATAGTACAGTGCAGAGTGAAAGAAGCTGGACACAAAACGCCCAATACACTGTGTGGACCAATTTACAGAAGCTCACGAACAGGCAAAGCTTAGGTTAACACAACCTAGAACTGTGATTGTGTTTTGGAAGCAGAGGAGCAAGGATAGTCTGGGATGGAACTTTCTGGGGAGATATGATATTCTACATTGTGAAAGAGGATGTGTTTCCCAGGTATGTTTGATTGCCAAAATACTGTGGCTAAGATTTGTAACTTCAATTTATGTAAATTTTAACTAAAAGAAGAAAATAGTAAAATTAAAAGAGGGGTGTGGGTGAAGGAATAAATAATACAAGCATGACTTGTATTATGGTAACTGGTCGATGAGTAAACAGGGTTTATTATGAAATTCTGCTTACTTTATATATATATATATATATATATATATATATATATATATATATATATATTTGAAATTTTCCAAACTAAAAAGCTAAATCAAAACTATAATGAAATAAATGCACCAATTAATCAGTTACTTTGGAAGCTAAACAGTCCGACCCTTCAGTTATGAAGTGTGAGCTAGGTCAAGTAAATGTAGTTTGGAGACAGATGGTAGCAATCAAGCCCGGAGGTAAAATGATAGCACAGGGCAGGGCCTACGTGGTAGAAAAACATTTGCAGTGAAGGCAGGGCAAAGGGTTCACTATTCAGAGATCATGGAAGAATGGTTCTAGCTTCCTCTTTTTAACCTTCTTCCAGGCCCATCTTGAGGGAGTGCCTCCACTCTGTTACATGAGACCTAGTTATGGCAGTGAAACTTCTTCTCTGAGTCTGAGGTCCATTTTTGTTGCTGGGAGGTAACCCTCCCAGTACGGCATGCTTTTCCTAAATGAGAACATTCTTCTTCATAATAAGGGTCTTCTGAAAATAGGTGTCGGCCTTCAAAAGATTTTTTAAAAACAACAAAAAGTAAATGTAATTATGTATAGCACAGGAGAAAAAAGTTTACAGTGTTTTTAGCTTTGTGAAAAGTTTACAGTGAGTGTTTTTTAGCTTTGAAGAAAAAAGTATAGTCATTTGAAAATAGCTTTTGAAAATTAAAAAACTGAGTATACAGATTGTAATGATCAGATGCCCTTTACCTCTCTGTGAGTGACGTAATGAGATCAGG